CTTCTCTCACTCTTAATGCGAGAGGGTGGATAAAAAACTAGTAAAGGAATAAATTGCAATATGTTGGTACACTGGATGTGTGAATAAAGGTAAGGATACTTTAGACCACCTATTGCCTTAAGTCACCTCTTACTCTTAATGCAAGAGGGGTGGACAAGGTTCTGCAAAGTTATCCAGTGTGCCGTTTATTTATATGTGCACTTAAGTGCTTTTATATTAGGTAAAAGTGCCTATGCTCATCTTACTCGATTTATAATGGTGTAAACTAGGTTTATAAGGTAAAATATAATCAAATGTTTTTATATATGTCCGTAACGAAATACCAGACTCAACTATTGCCTGTCAACATCAAAGAAACACTGACCTATATTTAGCAACCTATCGATCACCTACTTTTGACTATATAAGCTAATACTGAATTCACATCTACTTACTTATAGCGCTATTATGCCTTCCTCCCATGCACGCCATTAATAATACCTACAATTACAAATTATGTAGTTGATTTATTAAAGTATTATGTGTCTAGTCCACAAGTGAGGATAATGAGGATAGTAAGGACAGTGAGGCTAGTGAGGCAAGAAGGTCAAAGTCTGTAGACCGCCTATGTTTTGGCGGCATATTCTATTCAAAAGCCGAGTCTTAATGCTATCACTATACCATACCCAAAATGTCTACCGTCCACGAAACCGTCTGTTCTACTCTTAACAGTATTCTAACCTCCGATTCCAACATTGGCGCACCATTGTCCTCTGCATTAATGGCACTCGGTAGCGCTATAGACCACGTCCAAAAGGACGTGGAGCAAGTTAGGCGCATGTCGCGCACTAACTGGCTGTTAGTAAGTGTAATCTATGAGTAGGGTGGGCTAATTCTAATCATCTATTATAGATTATCAACATGCCTTTGCCAATGGGTATGTCGAAAAGTAGTGCGCTTCAGCAAGTTATGTCTGCTTTGGAGTACAACAAACCATTATTTGATTCTGACCGTGACTTACTGGCTAGCGAGATCACCTACGTTAACCGTGCTGGCCTACTCTGTAACATGGCCGTAAGTTATTGAAACGTTGATATATATATA